ACAATTTAATGGTGTTGAGGTTATTTATACAATACGCTCGCTGCTAGTCCTCAAATATTCAGTGACCGGCAGCCAATGACGTGTTCGGCAGACGATTTAAGTACCAGTTTTATGGCTTAAGCAAGAAGGTTTAAATATGGGAAAAACATTTAGTACTATCGGAGCGATTAAAAAGGTATCAATCTAGTAATTTTAAGAAAATATCAAAGAATAGTTAATAAACATTTTTAAAATCCTATATATTATTTTATTGGGTTAAATATCAATACTTAAAAAACATTCTTAAAGTGCAATTTATTTATTTAACCAAATATACCAATTTAGGCAAGGAAAAATCTGACAATTCTATATGATAAGGTAAGACAACTCTTTCATAAAACAATTAATGACGGTCTTATCACATAAAAAAACAAGAATTACTTGATATGTCTCTTATTCTATAATTATAATAGGACACTTTTTATAACTAGATAATTATCTAAGTTATAATATCTTTAACCAAGTGTTGTGCCTAATATTAATTCTACACACAAAAATCCTTGATCAATTTGATATTATAAAGTATACATTTTGAATTGATATGCGGCATCTCAGTTTGATATGCTCGATATGTAAGCAATGGTCCACTCACTTTAACTTTAAGCGCTCTATTTGGAATTTGTTCTTGTCGCTCCCACTCACGTAATTTAAGTCGTCATATTGCTTCTTACTTTTTTTTTCGAAGTCAGAAAATATCCGAGGGAGAGATTTTGCAAAATTATATTACTCAATATCAATTTTATAAGTATTGCATATACATACGCATATCGATTTAATCCCGTCGTGTTTTTTTTATGTGTGGAGCAGTTTTAAAACATTATTTAAAGCACGTTTGTGACCTCAACCGACTTCACAAATTATCCTAGCAAATGGCAGAGCCAAGTTCCAATTGCATTTCAGTCACTCCCCAAAGGATGTCGATTGACAAGACAGCTTCCGAGAGGGCAAAGGATCGAAAGTGCCCCATCAGTCTATCAGCCTTCGAGGACGACTAAGGATACTCGAACGCACAGAATGAGCATCTCGGTTGCAGCTAACCAACGCATTACTCTTGGCCGTTACAGTTTATGGGCTTTAATTTAATTTCTGTCGGAATGGGATAGGCGCTCTGAATTAACGATCTGTTTGGCCACATAACGGCGATTACCGAGCAGATACGCGGATATTGGATGGGATTGTGTGAAATACTCAACGAGTTATTGCGTTTTAAATACCAACTGGCGCTGGTCCACAATTAAATATCGAAATAATACAGGGTAATTCTGTAACATTGTGAAAACATGATGAAAACTAAAGAGCCATGATACGCATACGCAATAAAATGATTTCCAACATTTGATTAGCCGGGGATACTGTGACGAGTTGGCTAGATAATGAATGTCCTAGTGGAATGTAGCTGTGCCCCATAAATCAGCAACCTGGGAAATTACAAAACGAAAATGATGTTGACTACGTGGAATGCAAATGAATGAAATGAAATGACCTGCCTGGCATGCAAAGGCGGAATGCAAGGCTGCTAATAAATAAAAACATACGGTTTTCGGGGCACCGAGAGAGCATTTACATAATTTTGATTATTTTCGCTGGATGCGAGCAGTGTCCTTAGCCCGAATAACATTTGCAGTTGGCATTTGGGCTGATGGTGGGGTTGTTTTCGATTGTGGTTCGGTTCTGGGTTCTGGGTAAAACTGTTTGGCATTATGGAAATTTCCGTTTGTCATTTTGGGGCGCGAAGTGTCTACATGCAAATTGAGTTGCAACCAGCAGATCCCCACTCCACTCGACAGTTGTTTGTTTAGTTTTGCATTTGGCAAATGCAATCTTAACAGGGCTTCCTGGCTGTCTGTCTGCCAATACATTAAATTGCAATTTTAATTTGTTTAGCATGCGGCATTGCTGCTCTTGCATCTGCACCACATGGCGTATGCTTCATAATCACACAAACTCGTACATATATGCACTCTATGCCCCTGTTTGCATTTTTAATACTGCATTCCACCTGCAGCTGCGTCCCAGACAAACTGCCGGAGATACTTTCGCATTAAAAATTTAAACAACATTGCAGGCGAGCGGCGGGAACAAAAATGGATTTTGGACATGGTTTCCAAAACAACACATTTAAAGCTGCTCCATTTTATGGGGTTCTTGCAATCGGTTTGTAGGAATTGTTGCCGAAATGTCTTGGGGGCTAAATTAAATATTCTATAAATTGTTATAGTCCCCAGATATATGCAAATTAAATGTTTTTTAATTTGGCTTCGCCCAGACGGGTTAATAAATAGTCGCTTTTAGTCGCAGTGGAGGCAAACATAAATTCTGACATTTTGGTTACAGGCCAAAAACACACGAAACAATAAAGCCAAGAGCCAAGTATCGGGCTAAAGAAATCAGGAAACGTGAAATATTTACATAATTACTTGACAACCAGATAAATGATCAATTTTTGGCCAAATCTCATTAAAAACCCCGAGCGTACAAAGTAGAGTACAGAGACCCCGCGATGAGGCAGAGTCGAGGAATTCGCAACGTCAACTGAAGTGAATATCAACGAACGACCTTCAACATGAAATGCGACGTAAAATAAATTTATCTCAATTATATATAAGCAACTAGATCTATATATACGTCCGTCTCTCTGGGGGAAAATCGGACGGATTCGTGTTGCGGGGCGAGTAACTTTTAAGACGGCCAGTGAGAGATTCCTTTGGTTTTGCTTGTTTGCTTTACATTCACCTTGGCAGCGCAGTACGAAAAATCCAAAGCAAGATACAAATTTATTTTTGAATATTTTCGGTTAGCAGCGGCGTAAAAAAGAAATGAGAAATGATTTCCACCCACCGAGAGTCCTCCCTAAAATGAACATCTCTTTAATTTGTTAGGAGAGAGGGCTAGAATTCTTTAGCATTTCAGAGAAGCAAATATTAATATAATATTAATTCATGTTAAAAAAAACATGATTTAACTAATATTCTTAGTTTCGAAATTTTTCTTTAGACTTTTGTTTAAATGTTTATTCAAACCAAAATACACACGTTATTTATTAATACAAATTGGTATATTTTTCTTTTCGTATAAATCCTCACTGTATGCAGCAGAAATCTTCTTTATACAGAAATATGCTCCAGATATTTCCTCCATCTAATGACGCCACAATCAGGCGATAGCCAGCATTTTTATGCAGATTTCTTGTTTAAATATTTACACAATATCGGCGTGCTTTCTCTGCCTTCAGAGCAAACAATATAAGGTGGGAAATAAAAACGAACTACATTTAAAATATAATAGGAACTGCTTGTTTGATTTATTTGACTGGAGTTTATGTAAACAAAATGTGGAAAAACATAAAAATATTTTTATTAAAAATACTCGTGTTTGGTTTTTCCCTGCGGTTTGGCAATTTCCGCTGTAAATGCTTTTTTCATTTCCTCTCCGATTAAAGTGTCTTTTTTCCAAAGATTTTCCTTAATTGGCCAGACAAACTGGGGAAAGGAAATTGAGAAATCGGCTTATGTGCCATTAGCACATAATTCAGCTGAGACAAACCGAAGATACACCTGCACACGGAAAGGTGAGAAGTGGCCGGGAAAAAAGGTCGACCAATCGGTCAGGTTGCCACCTTTGCCGCAGGTAGACAAGTATTTCCGTTTGCTGTTATTTGCCAATTTGGGAAAAACTGCCTGGGAAAGCAGGCTGGCAAAGCGAGACGTGTAACCCTTTTTCCTGGGCCGGCACTGGGAATTGGATGGCACTAAATCAGGAGGTCTCTGTGGGTGCTTCCCTTTCTGCTTCCTCGTGTTACGCGTTCTTTTCGAAGCATTTTTCTGTTCTGGGTTCTTTTCATTTTTGGAATTGCCCGACGCTCGACATTTTTCATGCTACGAGGATTTTCCTCCACCCCAAAGACACCCCTTAACCATTTCCTGCTGGCAAAACTACTTGACACTTCCTTTTTCCCTTTGGAAGTTTGGGGTTTTCGACTTGCCTTTGTCTTTGGCTGCCTAAACCACTGTAGATACAGTTACCACAGTTTTTGCAACGTTCATCGGGTGTGACATTTATCCTTCATCGTCTGCTCTTCCTTTTGGCTTTCATTTCAGCTTTAATGCGAGAGGAAAAAAATGTATATATATTGGGTCCTCTTTTGTTTTATACGTTAAATTTATCGTTTCTGACAATGGAAACGGCGTCGCAAATGTTTCCTGATCACAGTGCGCCTTATCTGGGCCCCTTTTTTCGGCACGCCCCCACTTTTCCGCTTTTCCAACATTCATAGCCGTATTTTATTGAAATTCATGTATTTTTAAAAGCCCACTGCCCCTGGGAAGCGGCTCTAAATCGTTTAAGCATTTGTTTCCACCATTCACAGCTTGATTTCGCCAGATCCATTCTGCAGTTGTGTACGGTTTGTTTTTTATCTGTGCATAAAAGTTAATGTTTTGCATCGGCATCAGTATCATGGGCCGAAAATGTTTATTGTTTTGGCCCTTTATTAAAGCGTAGTTAACTGCTGATAACTTCGATGGCCAAAAAAAGAGAGGGATCGAAAACAGCTGTTAAGCCATAGATTTGTGTTGATTTGATTTGTCTATTTGCAGTTTGGCTTAGGGGATTTTTAGAAAGAGGCAACGGAAAGAGTTATCGGTTTAATCTTTTGGCAAGGAATATACATTAATTACACATCGCTGTTTGGGACATTTATCAGGGCAATATTTCTATGTAGAATATCTGTGTATAGATAACCCTTATCACTGGTGATACACAACACGCACACTGCAAAACGCGATCCCTTATCGGGTTTTTTGGATTTTTGCAGCAATTTGTAGACTTACCACCTTCCGGCTCTGAGTCATCTATATAGATCATGTTGCTGCGTCGCTTAACGCCGATTTCCCGCAAAGGTTGACCCGTTGTGCAGCTGCTGGTAGAACCAAACTTTCCACACAATTTTTTTTAACCTATTGCTTGACGTTTGACGTTTGCTGTTTGTTTTTTATTATTTTTTTTTTACACAATATTTAATGGCATCTATAATTATTCTTCACTCAACATTTTGCGTGTTATCTTCACTTCACTTATTGAACGAAATTCGAAATTTTTTGGTTTTGCGCACTTAAAAAATGGCACAAAAGAACGATTCTTTATTTATAGCTGGTCGGCCGCACACCACGTTGCGTATGCTTGATATTAGCGCAAAATTCGTTCACCAGCGCCACTATTTTGCTATTGTGTCATCGCGAGCGAGCGTTTTGCCTCAAACTGTTTTGGCCTGGCCCCACATTATTTGATTTGAGCTGTTTTCGCTGCTGTTTCTGCCTTTTGCCAATACGGCGTATGTGTGTTCCTTTGTGGTTATAAATGTGCTTTCGGCTGATAACTGCCGCACTGAGAGAAATGGTCGATCGACTCTCTCGTATACGTGTCTATAAATAAACAAACACAGGCACAAATATAGGGGGCAAACCTCAGCCGCGTATATACACTCCTATTTGTATTGGCGTTTGTCTGTTTCGTTTCGTATAAAAATAAATTGCAGAGCAATTTGTATGCTCCGCTCTTTTCGGCTTGTCGCTCATTTTGCGGCTTGTTTTTGTACGCGAATGAAATTATTTTCCCGATGTCGTTTAGCACATTTTCTACAGTTTTCCGATTTTCTTTTTGGCAACAGAACAACAAAATCCGACACTAGTGTGCGCTTTTATATTTGTGAATATATATGGGTGCTATGTAGTATTGTATGCTTCCTATTCCCAGTTTGTCAATTTTTCGCAACTTGTTGCCGTTTAAAATCCCTCTTGTTTTATCTTCTTTGGGCAGACTAAAATCTTGGCTACATGCATATTAAACAGAAAATCTTATAATCCCTCTCGATGACAGAACAAGTTACTAAAATGAATTATAAAATATTAGGGGAAATAAAAATGCTTTATCAAGTGTAAATAAATTTATTCATTATCTAAAATTGTGAGAACATTCCAAGTAGCTGAGTACTGATCTAAAATTAAGAATGATTTGAAAAGAAACTCAAATCATTTCCGTAGTTTGTGTAGCTTTTGGATTGTAATAAACCCAAATAGAAATCACTGGCATTTCAATCTCGCGGCATCTGAACCAACAAATTAGTTGGAATTCCATAATCTCTGGCATTCCACAATCTAGCCAAATCGCCCACTAAACATTCCCGAAACAAGTGCATAAATTCTCATTATATCTTCTACAAGTGTGAACTATAAATAATGGCAAAGCCGGTAATTATCTAGCCCCATTATTAAATTACGCTCGTCTATATTTATATGGGTTACCAGTGAGTACCCCGTAGCCGTAGACTTTCGTCGTATCTTATCAAACGGAAGAAAGCCCAACGGCCGGACACGACGACAGCGGCGATGGGGGAATAAAAGGCCATGCGTCATGGTCACACATTAAGTCAAATATAAATAGATGAAGAGAGCACCTACACCCAAAGAAAAAAACTTGATATGAAACGATGATCGATTTGACTTTATGTGGCATTAATTTTGACTTGATATGCGGGCACTTCAATTCGATATGCTCGAAATTTAAACAACAAGCCATTCCTTCTCCCTCCCAATCATGTAACTTTAAGCGCTATTTCGCTCTGTTTCGAAAAAGAGAGAGAGTAGATATTGGTATGCAATACCATACATTTACCATGCGCATATCGATTTGAATGCACAATTTTTTTTGTGTGTACACAATGGGCAAATTACCACTATTTTGCGTGTTTAATATTTCTATATATTAAATAAATATTATTTACTGACACAGTAGCTTTAACTTAAAACTGTAATTTAGCTTATTTCCAGTAAAAACCTTGCATATTTTCTAGTAATAATACCTTTTGTTAAATTAAAATAAATAATTTTCGGATGATTTCATTACATTTGAATGCATATCATCTGTTAGTATATATTTTTCCCAGTGTGTTTTCTGGGCTGACTGTCTGTTTAATTGGCATGTGCATGGGGTGGGAGTGGGGAACTTAAATCGCTTTAAGAGTGCTAGTGGTCCGCTGCCCGCCTGCCTTATAAACAATAACAACGGCTGAGCGGCAAGCGAGCAAACCGAAGCCTTGGCCATAAAATTACGTATACGAGCAGTTGGCAGCTGCAGCTGCAGCCATAGAACTTCCCACTTTCCACTTCCCAGTTGGATGTGGGATCCACATATACGCCATATCCACTCCACTCCCGCCGATTCGGTCAGTCGCCTTCGCCAGCAGCAAAAGCAAAGGCAAATAAACAAAACCCCTGCCAGGTCGAGCCACTTGATGCGAACGTGCCCAGACAACGGTGTGTGGTTGGGAAACGTGTTCTCGGAACTCCTCCAATCCCATCCCCACCCCCACGCCATGGCATACCATCAGCATCCCACGGATGACCACTCCAGGCTGCCGGACTTTAAAGGTTTCGGCCAGAGTCCAAGACAAACAGACTGGCTGGCGAACTAAGCTGCGTTTTGATTTGCACACGGCCAAGTGACCAGGGGATGTTGGCCAAAAATTGGTTTGGGGCCCAAATTCGACCGGCTTTTACGTCACGGGCTTCCGCCTTTGGCTGCGCTTTGAATAATGCAAATCCCTTAAATGCGCTAAACGCAGCTGGCGGTCGCTCCCCCGATTTTTTCCCTCCGATCGAAAATTGCGATGCAGGCACGTTTTGTTTTGAAAACTGCTCTGCCGAAGAGTTGTATTACTATCAGTATACTTCCGTAAGTACAAATTTAAAATTAAGTAAAATGATTTTTTTTTAAATTTACGATATTTGATAATATCTCTAAAAAACGCTGTTTTTTAAAACACTATCGTGAAATTTTATTTTTACCTTAAATAAAAACAGTATGTCTGAAGTTTTTTCAAAGGAGATTTAAACGATTTTCTGGTCCTTTTAAGTGTATTCTAATCTTTGACAAAAGGGAAAAGGAACTTCTTTACACGATAACGAAAACTTTTTACTACAATTTAGTTGATTGGTTGTTGTTTTGCATGTCGTTGTCACTGTAGTTTATGTTGTTCAATTTTGTTGTTGTGCTTGGTGTTGGTTTTGCTTCCGCTTTCGCACTCTGCCGACCAGGTGAAAGGACCACCGTTATTGGGAAATGATTTTTTTGCAGCTCTACAACTTCTGTTGGTTGTTTGGGGCGCACCAAATTGTTTAGCTGTTCCGATACAGCTATTGTTTTGCCTGTTTGCCTTTCTTGCACTGACATTTTTTGTTGCGCAGAAAACTTTTCACCTTACAAATGTTTACATATCATTGCGAATTCCCAGTTCATGTGATATTTTGGAAAATTGACAAATTCTGGCGCTCGTCACAAGTCGACTCCACTCTCTCTCATTGCACGCTCAACTGTTTCGGTATGTTTGAAAATATTTTCCAATTTCAGTCTAGTTTTGGTGGAAATTTTTGGCTCTCGGCAACGCCTCGTTGCGCTATTTTCGTGCTCCTTTTGGTTCGCGTTCGTTTCGAAATCATTTTTCCCCCGATTTCTGTCGAGTTTTCCGCGGCGCAACATGAAGTCAATGTGTTTACCTCGCTAAACTTCTTTGCGTGCTAATAATAAACCAGCAAACAACAACCGGCAATCGGACATCGGCAACTGCAACAACGCAGCATTGGTCCATTAGCCCCGTTTTCCATTTTCAATTTTACGAGTGGGAGGTGCATATGGAATAGGCATTACGTGAGGAGAAGCAGGGAAATAAACACATAGGTTTGGGTGTAAAAATGTAGAAAATTCGCAAATTTTTGTTTTTTTTTAAAGATAATTTAACTTTTAACTAACCAAATCCAATTTGGATACATTAGAGGAGTTAAAAAAGCCGTGTCTGTCTGTTTTAATACCATTTGAGAGTTCAGCTTAAAAACTAGCGATCTTAAACTTTCACAATGGTCGTAAAATATATGTTCGTAGATCAAGTTTGATCACTTTTTTTCGGATATTTCGCGCAGTGTATGAGTAATTGACATGAATGATCAGGACATTATCTATTAGACTAATTGGATAACAAAAATTACAATAATAAACGATGGGCGGGAAGTCTAATACTATTTTGACCGCAGCTGTGTTTTTATGTTTAATCGATATTTTTTGTTTTTTTTTTCTCCCAAAAAAATCATAAAATTAATTTGAGTGTGGGGTTCAAAAGATACATAGGTACATACACTTTTAAAAAGCTTATACACCTCAAAAAAACAAGAATTCCTTTGCCTGCAAGGTAAATTAAACCCTATCTACCCGACAGTTCTTCAAATCGGACTTTTCATTAAAAAGTTATGCGCAATCAAAGTTTCATATCTCCTTCTCCCTGGCTAAGTAATGGGTATATGATAGTAGGGGCATCCGATCATAGCATTCTTCCTTGTTTGTATTTATATTACTATAGTCAAATTTTAAAATATAAAATCTGCAAGGGATATAAAATTTGCCAAAGCTAGCTTCCGTTCCCATTTTCTTCGTGCGTATGACATAGAATCCAAACGAAAAGAACCGCAAAAGATGTTCTACATTTTAATTTATTGTATTCTATTCTGAATTTTCGACATCAGCCTTGCGTTCTGCATTCCACCCCCTAACTGGCCGAAATAAAATTAGCTATCGTTTCAAATCAATTTGCTGGTCTTTCTTCTTGGCTCTCAAGATCCAGTTTTTCCGTTTTCATCTGCAACGAGCACATATATTTTGTGGGTCATTAATGGAAAATATGCAAAGCATGCAGACAAATGGCTAAATAAATTATTTAATTCGAAGCGATGGTAGTGCTTTCGAATTATCTGCTATATGGTAGCTATATAGTGCTTTGTTCTGACTCTCTAAGGTCGCCGGCGTGTCGTTGACTGTTCATCTTTCTGGCTGGCGCCGCAGCTTATGACATTTCCCAACAGAGCATATATTTTGGGGTCTGTGGATATATTTTGCCATTAAAAATAAACGGCAGTTGGCCTTTACACGGCTCGTTGACAGCCGGAGATCAATGTTAGGGGGGAACGTGTGAGCCAGACAGACCTTGCTGCATGAACTTGTGACAATGTGGAGCAATGACTCGGATTCTTTCGCATTTCACCACTTGTACCTGTTGTCTTTCGCACACTTATAGTATACCTGTATCCTCTGCCGTCTTTTGTGGACTTCCGGCGAGACTTGTTTACGTCTAACTGGTCGACCGCGTAAACAAATGCACAGGTGAGTCCTATTTTTAGCCCGAATACGGCCTATTTCGATCGGATTGGGTAGAATTGGATCGGTGGCGTCAGTGATGCCAGACTTCATCTGCTTGATTTGCGATTGCTTGTAAATACATTTAATTGGCACTTCTGTCGTCCGTCTGGCAGCTGAGTGCCTCGTTTATTATAAAAGAAACATGCAGATTTATTTCTGGCATTTCCAACTGTCAAAGGCAAATGGACGGGGGGCTGTGAAGAGTCCGGCGATGGAGAAGTTTTGTGGCTAACCGCAAAACAATTAATTTTGATTGCCTTTTAAACCCTTTGAGGGAGGAACAGAGGAACGTGCGTCGAACACTCGACTTTCTAATCCGATCCGGCAAGTTTTGTATCTCGGCACGTACGCTCCGCCACGCCCACTTTTCACTCCGGAGAACTTCCACTGCCCCTTCCACTTCCACCTGGTATTCCTCGGGCTCAGCTGAACTGAACTGTCATGAATTGCAGGGAATTTATTTTACCGCAAGGACTGGTTTTTGATGCTGGCTGTGAAATCGTTTGGGGATTTGTTTTGGCCAACAAGGGGGCCAGCTAGGCCAAGAACTTTGTTTATTTTCATTCGATTTAACTTAAAGTCTAATTTCATTGATGGAAATTTCGCATTGTTTAAAAGGGAAGATGGCTCAGGACATTGGAATGTGAAAATAAATATTTAAAGATTGCCACTTCCAGTTGATGGCGTCATTGGGACGAGCTGAGCGAAAATTCGACTGAGGGTCGTGCCACAGTGGTGCCACTTGACTCTTTATAGGAAATATAAATACACTAATACTCTAAATTTAAAGCATCAACGCCGTTTTCTCGTCAGCCTGTTAAATTTAAAGTAAGCTTTAAAACCTGATTTCCCATACGATTTCAAGGATCAAATCTTACTTTAAATTTAACAAACGGACGAGAAAACGGCCCTAAAAACCACATTAGTTTTTTGAAGTATTGCATTTGTACCAGTCAATTTAACACTCTATTATAGGAACAAAAAACACTTAATATTTAGGTCCGTCCTTTTAATCAAATATAAAAAGTTAGATTAGTTTAAAATTTAAAGCCAATTTTGAAACTGCAAGCGAATCCTCGAGTTTTAACATCCCCAAATTGCATTTGAAACAGCTGATTTAACAGCTAAATCGGAATTTATAAAACGTAAGATTTCTAAATGGTTCTTTGTAAATGCATCCGCAAAACAAAATGTTTTGTTTAACGACTTTGTAAAAATGATAAAATGCCCCATGGTGCTTCATGCGTTATGAGAAAGTAAAACAAGAAATATGCAATGAAAAAAAAAATAATGCAGCGCCCAAAAGTCGGCCATGAAAAGTATTTCAGCGGGAAAACCCAAATACGGGAATATAAAATATACGAAAATTTGGCTGAAAATCCACGCAAAAGGAAAGAAGGTTTTTTAAAACCTTTAAATTGGTAAATCCATTACTGCAAATGAAAATGCCGCTAACCAAATGAAACGATTTTTTCAAGCTGCCTGCAATCCTGGTCGTCTACGCGATTTTAAAGAATTATTTTCTAGATCGTTTGAAGGGTTTTAAGCACCTCGATCGATGCCGCATTATTATGCGAGCTGGCGGGTTGAAATAATAGAACCTACATGCAATTTGGGGCGAGTGCAGCAACGCAACAGCCATAAATTTAATGCAAGACAAACAATATGACAGGCCGGTGCCATGGGAAAAAATCTCATCAGCGAGCTGGAGCAAAGCGAGAAGAAATATTGAATGCAATTTTATTTGCCACACACTGTACTACGCCACCAAAGCAGCAAAGCGTTTGGCGAACTGCCGGGTGAATTATGGAAATGCATCATATTATTCCGCAGCTTCTGCTCCTGGATAACCTCCTGCAGGATAACCTGATGCGGAATGTGTGAGGGCGTGCGTGACTGCCACTGCCAGACGCTCCCAGATGAACTGCGAAAATCTTTAAGGAATTCTATAAAATTTGTTTCGTCTCCAATGATTTTCTAAAGATTTAAGGCCTTCCTTTTAACTTAAAGTAGGTTTTAAATTCGAAAACGGCCCTTAATCAATAAAATATATAATTATTTTAATCAAATTGTCCTCAAACTTGGAAAAATGTTATTTGATTTTTAATTTAAAGCGCTACGTTGGTTTTTTATTACATATTATTTTTATTTTTATTTTTCTGCGTGTATTGTCAAGAGCCACGTGGCCCAAACAAGAAGATATAGGAGCAAAGAAAAAGAGAAAATCTTATAGGTGCCCCAACGCGAACAGAGAATCGCGGGAGTGGAGCCAGGCGCTATTTTAAGGGTGCTCCTCCTCCGAACTCGAGCTTTTCGCCAACCGCATGCAGCTTGATAAAAGACGCAGTCATGGTAACCCACCTGCCACTAAATGAGTTAACGTGCAGGCATGTGGGTGCCCTCCCTCCGCCCGAGAACCTCCTCTGATGTTTGTTTGTTTGGCTTTGCCTGTTTACGTGCAGTCATGCGAGACTCCGGCCCAAACCCCGGGTTTTTCAGCTGATGCTGGAAGCTGCTTCAATGGTTGTCTGTCGCCAAAGGACCCTTCCCACCGCCACCCACTCTGGTTTCTACCTCATCAAAATCCATTTTAAGATTTTTGATTTAATTCCGCTTTTGTTTGGCAAGTCGGTTACTGCTCATGCCATGTGTATCTAGAGTTTAGATTTGCCCAGGCAATTTGTTTATGCCCGTCAAAAGACTGACTCTGCCGGAGACATGTGAACATGTGAAGGATCCACTTGGACTGTCTAGCATTTGCTTGTATCACAGTTAAAGTGGAGGAGCCAGCAAAGCGAAGGTGCATTCTGAAAGTTGTCCAATCAAATGCCTTGAGCTGCAAGCCGAAAGTTAAGTAAATTGTGGAAACAATAACAAAATCTCGAGCTCTTAAAGTTTGACTGAAAAAGTTCTAATGGATATCAATTGTTTGGGTAGCTGACATTTTCCAAAGAGCAAGCTACATTGCTTGCATTTTATTATAAAAACGGAAACAAATTAAATAAAGTTATCCAATCAAATGGAATAAGCCTTACGCTCCTACAAAATAATTGCAAATTGTTACAGTAAGGAAACCAATTTCACAATTAAAACTTTATTGATTTCGTTACAAAATATATTTACTGAAAGAACAACATATGGAATGTTGGTAAACCAATTGAGATATTAATAGACGGTATTTATAGACCTATTATAATAAAAATGTACAAAATAAATATATTTTGAAACGAAATCTGATCGAAGCGAGTTGAATTCCATTTGTGGTTCCTCTAGCTTAGCTCGCGATTGGATATGAATGGATTAAAAATTGGCTATACCTTCTGAGTCGAATGAAATGTTTTCAGCAATTAGCAATATATTAGCAATTATAGGTATGGACCTAAAAATTTAAAATGGCGAATAACTTTTGTGAACAAAGTGCAGAATTTAATGTATTTTAATCCCAAATGCTATACTTCATTTACATTTCTGTGTCTTTTTTTATTCTTACTGTTTTAAAATTATTTAATAACTTGTTGTAACTTTCAATATCTTTACCCAAAATGCGAACCACAAATTTAAATCGGATTCAGAAATATTGTCTTTATAAATCGAGTTTTCCACCAAATCTTTGAATCGCTATAACAATCAATCGTCATATATGAATCGTGTTAATAAGTTATTCAATGTTTTAAAAACCGAACTGCGGTTGCATTTTCAGTGTTGCCTGCGTAATGTGTAAGTGCAAAATATTCTGTTAGCCAAAGTCAGAGTTATTGAAATATATTGATAGCGACAGGTAACCAATGTCAATCGTATTGCTGGCTGAATCGGAATTTTCCAAATCAAATTAGGCACGCTGCATTGGGCAGCACGAAAATATCCGCAAATGTGCAGCAGTTTGTGGCCATAAAAGAGCCCGAAGAGCAAGTGGCAAAACAATGGCTGGCACAGCACAAATCAAATCACGGAAAATTAGTCGTAATTCAATTGCCGACAGTCGCCGTCTGGATCGCTCCCCTCACCTTCCACTCGTTTGGGTCCTAATCCCCTTAGGGAACCAGGCGAAAACTTGTTGATACCGTTTCTATACGGCGGGTGGCCAGCCTTCGACCCCTCGCGATTCATAACACAACGTACACACGTACATTTGCAACGAAACTTGTATGGACAACCTCCAGGTGTATCTATGCGCTGGCTGACAAATATTTGACGTTTTAGTCTAATTAAATTAGCCACAACGCCGCTCGGCCCTCGGGAAAGGTATATATTTCTGCGCGTTAGTCGCAGCGTGTAAATTTCGCAGGTGGCACACGTTCGCGGTGCGTTGCGGGCTGTAACTCGGCGGGTTTTCCCCTTAAAACCAAAAACTAAAAAAAATATACATAATAAAACAAGGCAAAACATTGTAAAGGAATAAGTGACTCCTTCGTCCGTTCGGTGCCTTAACGTATTGTTGCAAAATATCATATACACATACAATTCAATCCTTAGTCCCTCACCTAAGCCGGTCACATGAAATTTCAACGTCCATTGTGCCAGCGAGTTGAACAATTGCACACGTTTTTATGTGCCGGAATGCAAGAAGTACGTATCCGTACGGTTATAAGTGGCTTAAGTGCAGTCCGTGAGCCAACTGAATTATGTAGTTATATCCTTCATTCATTGTGCTCCTGTTCCTGCTCCAACTCCTGCTCCTGATCCCTTGATTGTGAAGTTTGTGACTGTGGGTGCAGGGTTTTGTGGTCTGTGACTACTGCAGTTTTCGCTTAAACTTGGCTGCCATCGTGATAAGCTCTCAGTTTTTATGAACTCTATAAACTATACGAAACTGTTTCTAGTTTTAATGAACTCTAGTTTTCTTGTGACAAAATTGAATAACTTTGATGGCCTATAGAGGGTTCTTAATAATTTTGATGATGAGAAAGAGATATACCTCAAGGATAATATCAGTTGAATGCAGGGAAATCGAAGTTCAAGCTTCAATTACTGAAAATACTCGCATTTTTCTTTGTGCATTTCCTTCGGGCGAACAGCTATAAATCCATTTATAAACGCTTTCCATAAAGTGGCAGATAAAAACGAATTTATTGTGACATTTTTATGTCCGTCTGTATTTTCACCTGTAGTCCGCACTTATATTTCTATTAAGTTAATTAAACAATGCACCATCGGCGGCTACTGTGGCAGCCCGAACAGCCTTTTGTCCGGCCCGGAAGTGTTTTTTTATGCAACAACCCCCTCTGATGGGTTGCTGTTTTTTCTTACCGCATATGCAAAGCACTTGCATTTTTTATGACCAGCCCAAACACTTTTAAATGCATCTGCAGCATCCGCATCCGCATCCGCAGGAGCATAAAGCCAGTTTAAAGCAAAAGCATGTAGACAGAGTGCATTTTTTCTTCTGCGGATTACCGATTGGTGGCCGCTGCCGAAAAAGCTCCTTAAATATTCATTTTGGCATTGTTCACACATGCGGAGAGGAGCAGCGGAAAATGCAAATATTTTGTATTGGAGAACAAAGAAGCGCTGAAAATTATTTCTAATGGGCAACCGATTGGCGATGATGTAAACAACCCGATGAGAGCCACAAATATTAATAAAAATTTCAGCTGGCCGTGGCTAATAAGGGAAATGCAAATGAAAATGTAAATCAAAACAGAAAGAGTGATTAAACAACAAACGATAAGTAGTGAAATAAGTGAGCCCAAAAGTAAAATTAGTGCTGCCGTGGAATCCCGTCCGAACAGTCAGGAAATACCGAATACAGTTCCTAATCAACTTACAAAATAGCCGAAACTTAAATCTGTCCCATGCAGTTGGCACTTAAAAAGGGCTTAGCCAGCTTGGCCAACGAAAAAAAACATTATAAACAGCTTAAATAGAAACTTTTTGCACGCCGGAAACCAGAAACCATAAACCAAGTCAAAAACCAGCAGACACACACAGTCTCAGTTGGACATAACTATGAAAGCAAAATCAACTTGAAAGTTGCATTGGGCCCGGCTTAGTATTGGACTTTTTTGGCTTAGCCATTGTGTATATAAATATATGTGTGTTATATGTAAATATCGTGCAGTTTTCAGTGCGTGTGTGCTAAGCCCGGCGAAATGGAGCCATGGAGTTCTGAACTCTGAACTCTGAGCACTGAACACTGGACCCAGTACATGGCATATTAATTACTCTCGGTGTGCTGTTTTCTGTTGAGTGAAGTGTACAAAACCCACAATGGGCCGCAAGAAGAAGCTGCCGACGGGCGTAAGTAGAAACCCAGAGTCGATCAAGTAGAAGGTAGCACCTCTTAAAGCTGCCAGCATTAGCTTAAACGACGCTTACCCTAAACGCTGTCATGCCATTTAGATGGAGGCCAGACAATCAGCCGAGCATCCTCCACTTTGCACTTAATTTTCTTGTATGTTTATTTTTTATTTATTTGCAATTCCGCATACACGATTTCCCCGCCACACGGATATGTACACATGTACTCACATACTCACCCACCCGTCTGTTTAAAATATGCCAGGTATCGTCTGGCGGCAACAACACCAACGCCCCCAAATCGGTGGGCGGGTGCTGTGTGCCGCTGGGATTACCGCAACCTTTGCTGCTCGAGGAGAAGAAGTTCCTGCTGGCTGTCGAGCGGGGCGATATGCCGAATGTGCGCAGGTGAGTAGCGCTTTTTACGCCTCCGATACCCAGCAGGTGGGCGGAGGTATCAGGTCCTAAGCGGCACAGGGTACACTTGGAGAAAAAGTATCGGGTTGGAAGGAGCAGGCTTATACCCCTTCAAAAATATTTTGTTAAAGAACCAATAATAATTACTTTAAATAAAATACGTCTTAGTAATAACAAGTGTAAAGTACGGAACAATTCAGTATTATTAAGTAACAAATGGAATTTCTGAAAGAGTTTTAAAATTTCAATACATTCTTGACACACTTTATAAATATTTTAAAATAAATTATCGGGAGTGATACAAAAATGTATGAAGGTATATTAAATAAATATAAATTAAATAAATGAAATTAAATTTCTGTAAAAATGTGAGTATCTTTCAAGCCATATCTAACCAATACTAAACAAATATGTAAACATTCTTAATTATTTTAAGTAGGTACTTTATCTTATAATCTCATTTTAATATAATTATTATATAACATTTTCAATTAGATTTCTTTTCTCAAATCCAAAATCCTAATGTTTTTTAAGGGGTATCAAGAGTTCCATCGGTGGCATCGCCAAGGGAAACCCAGGTGTTGACTGGGTTGGGCCGCCGTGGTAGCATAAATCCCATCGGGAGCCTCCTTGGGATGTTTGGATGTGGTGCTGGTGGTGGTTTCAATTATTTGCACACACGCCCTCCACCGCCTGCGGGTCTCGATATGGTTACCTAACTTGCTTCCTGCAAGCCACTTAATAAGCAATATGAGGACTCCGACCCAGATACTTTACGCTCGTTTACGGCTTTACTTTAATAAATGTACAATTAATTTCGTGTACTGGCAATGAATACGAGACAATGCGCAATAACGCTTTGTCTTTGCAGTCTCATTTAAAATACTTTCGGTACCATCACTTAAATTTTGAAAATATAATATTTTAAGGGCCGTTTTCTCGTCCGCATTACGTACGAATAAAACCTTAAAAATGTATGGGAATTCTTTGTTTTAAGCTTACTTTAAATTTAACACGCGGACAAGCTGATGTAGTTGTTTTTCAATTTAACGGCGCTGTTTTGGAAATTCATATTGGAAATAGTTAACATCCCAGAAATTACGACCTAAACTTTGGTTGAAATGCCAGGATGTCATTTATGAACAATTCTTTATTGTTTTCATTGTTTTGGCGAAATGGTGGCAACAAGCAAGTAAGTGGTGTCCGGTGTTCTTGTACCTGTTCCTGTTCATGTTGTGGGATCCATTTTGGCTTGGAGGCATGCATGGTGTCGCCACAAACTCGCATCTTATGTGGATTGTGGGGCGGGTGCTGAAGCTAGTACTTATACTTATGCTAATCCTAGTGCTGGATGATCTATGTGATTCTACCTTGAAATCCGAGTACTGACTAGGCACTATGGGTGGGGCGGTGGGGAATGTGGCGGCGACGATGGTTGATCTATTGGTTCGGAGACATTTAGAAGTTGATAAAACGGTACGGGTTATAGCTTTTCATCTCGTCCAGGGTGTAGCGGTAGCGGATGCCCTTCGAGGGCTCCTCCTCCGATCCGTTCGAGTCGTCCTCCTCCTCGCGGATCTCGTGGAGTCGCTCCACCCGGATGCCCTTCATCTGGCAGGCGCGACGGTACAGCTGCTCCTCACGATCCATGTAGAACTGGCACGAGACGGCGTGGTGCGGAATGGCCGGCGGATGGATCAGCGGATGACCACCAAAGGGAGCACCTCCTGCCCCATAGACCGCCGGGGAAAACCAGTTGTTGGCCAGTCCGCCACCGGCCATCAGCTTCACAGTTTGGGTCTCTGTTCGAGTTGAAGAATTAAAGTCGTGATGTTGGGAAGTCCACAGTTCCATGGAGCCCAAACTCACCCTTGTTCTTTTGGGCCATTTTGATGACCAAGCTCTGACCCTCGGCGGCTTCCATTTGGTATCGATTTTGTCGAATCGTCGGGGCTTACGAATAATTTAATCGCCTAATGTTGGGAGTGGTGTGTAATCACTGTAATCGCGTCTTGAAAAGCGGATTCCCTTTCTTCTTTGAATTTTGTACAACAATTTGTGTTGACGAACGGTCGTAAAATGAAAGATTTTCGCCCTTACTGACTGGCAGATGAAAACAAATTGTGACAGTTCGCCTGCAGGGTAACTAGATTTCGATAAATCGTTGGGCAGTGTTGGAAAAATTGCATAACTTAATTTGGGAGTTTCCACCTTCCTATCGCTTTTCCTGGCAGCTGGGCAAACAGAAGCAATATGAGCTCCTTTTTTTGGCACCCGATTGATTGGCAAAGTTTTTTGTTGGCCGCGGCCGCGATGTAATTAGAAACTTTGGCTCCAACTTTTGACTTGACATCGAGAATCGCGACTGGGGCAACTGTGGCCGAAAATGAAGAAAAGGAAAAGTTCCTGCGGACCTTTCGGTGGGAGCTTGCTCCAATTAGCAGCCATGCCACCCCCTTTATTAAGTAAATTCCAATAATTGCAGGATCCTGCAGAAGGCGCTGCGCCATCAGCACATCAACATCAACTGCATGGACCCCTTGGGCCGCAGGGCCCTCACCCTGGCGATAGACAACGAGAACCTGGAGATGGTCGAGCTGCTCGTCATCATGGGGGTGGAGACCAAGGACGCCCTGCTGCACGCCATCAATGCGGAGTTCGTCGAGGCTGTGGAACTCTTGCTGGAGCACGAGGAGCTCATCTACAAGGAGGGCGAGCCCTACGTAAGTCACTCCGCAGACAGATGGAGAAATTACTTGCTTAAAATTACCTGAATCGGTAGTAGTACTTCCCAAAATTTAATATTTAAAGGAGTGTTGACTTGGACAAAATATTTGTTAATTAATTAATTATTATTCACTTTTTTCTTCGTTAAAATCCATTTTATTTCTCTTGTTCAAAAGGTTTATGGTCCAAATTTTTGTTTAAAATTTATCTCTCTGTGTATCCTTTGTTTAGTCTGCTGTGCTCAGCTAATTTGTGGCCCACATTATCGTCCGTAGGCGTTTAAGGCCCTGTAAGTTGAAGCTAACACGATTTTAATCAGTTTCCGTGTAAGGGGCGTTGGGCGCGTGGAACACTTGGTGTGCCTGAAGTGGAGTGGTCGGAGTGTCCCACCCATCGGGATCATCTTCGCCATTGGGCACGTACTCGCAGCATCTCAACTCTCGAGTGATTGGGAGTGTGCGATAAGCGGCCAACGACCAAGAACCACCAGTTCCGCCCACTCCTTTCGGCGAATCCAGTACATCCAGGGGCATCCCGGTATATGGTTTACGCTTATTGCAAATAAAGTCGTCTGGGTCTCCGTCGGGCTCATATTTATGCACACAGGCACGCTTCATTAGGCAGCCATTGGGCGCTGGTGGAGCGTGAAAATTACTATTGTAGCGCATATGCAATAAAACGTTTAACAGGCTTAATAACATCCACAAACGATGAAGACAACGCACTTCGAGTGGGCCTTCGAACAGTTCTGGGAATAATTTCAGGTCTATTTTGCTAGGCAGCTACTGAGATTAATAAACTGTAGTCAACAAATCAAATCAGAGAAAAATTAAGAATGATTTCCTGAATGGTTATGTGAATATGTTCATTTAGACAGAGATAATAAATAGTATGTAACACATTTTCAAATTCTATTTTAATCCTCAGAGTTGGCAAAAGGTTGACATAAATACGGCGATGTTTGCGCCGGATATCACACCTCTCATGCTGGCTGCCCACAAGAATAACTTTGAGATACTTCGCATTCTTTTGGATCGCGGGGCTGCAGTGCCAGTGCCCCATGATATACGGTTAGCTAGGAATATAAATAAATACCATAAATAAATACCTGATAAATACCTTCACTTGCAGCTGCGGCTGTGAGGAGTGCGTCCGCTTGACCGCCGAGGACTCATTGCGGCACTCCCTCTCCAGGGTGAACATCTACCGGGCGTTGTGCAGTCCCTCGCTGATCTGCCTCACCTCCAACGACCCCATACTCACCGCCTTCCAGTTGTCCTGGGAACTGAGGAACCTGGCCCTGACCGAGCAGGAGTGCAAGTCGGAGTATATGGAGCTGCGGAGGCAGTGCCAGAAGTTTGCCGTGGATCTGCTGGATCAGACGCGCACCTCCAACGAGCTGGCCATCATCCTGAACTACGATCCGCAGATGTCGAGCTATGAGCCCGGCGACCGGATGAGTCTGACCCGCCTGGTGCAGGCCATTTCCTACAAGCAGAAGAAGGTATTTCCGGGATTCGCCTCCGGCATTATTCCGCTGCTAAATTGTCGACTCCCCGCTTCCTTTGACAGTTCGTTGCGCACTCGAATATTCAGCAATTACTGTCCTCGATTTGGTATGACGGCCTCCCCGGATTCCGACGCAAGAGCATTGTGGACAAAATCATCTGCATCGGCCAAGTGGCCGTGCTGTTCCCGCTCTACTGCCTCATCTACATGTGCGCCCCGAATTGCCGGACGGGCCAGTTGATGCGCAAGCCCTTTATGAAATTCCTGATCCATGCCTCCTCCTATTTGTTCTTCCTGTGTGAGTATGTCGGGTGCGGTGCACAATGCAAACATCATGGGCTCGATTTAAGGTGGTACTCAGGTACTCAGGTACTCCAGTGGAGTCGATGGATAGGTACCCCTGTGGGATTAAAGATATCTTTGCTTTGATAGGAGTGTACATTTTCCAGATAACACGTTTACTTCCAATTTGGAATATTAAATATCGTTAAATATTTTAAGATTTAAAACTGCTAATAAACATTTTAACACTATTAAAATTCCAAATTCAAACCTCACGGTTTAAATCTATTTGGTCCTAGCTGCTTTAAAAATATGAATCAAAATTATTATTTAAAATTGTGCTAGTCCTTTCAGTATATTTTAAAGAGTATTGGGTAATTTAAGATACATTTTAGAGCGTCAAAAAATTTGTAACACAAGAAATTTCAGGGTATCAGGGTATGAATAACTTTGCTGAGGGGGCTTCATCCCTCCGATTAAGAGCTGATTTTCCTTAAAAGAAAACATTCCTGGGAACTCATTGTTGTTTGCTTTGCAGTCATCCTGATTCTGGTATCGCAGCGGGCAGACGATGACTTTGTGCGCATCTTCGGAACGGCCAGGATGAAAAAGGAGCTGGCTGAGCAGGAGCTGCGTCAGCGGGGCCAGGCTCCCAGCAAACTGGAGCTCATCGTGGTCCTGTATGTGATTGGGTTCGTGTGGGAGGAGGTGCAGGAGATATTTGCCGTGGGCATGAAGAGTTATTTGCGCAACATGTGGAACTTCATCGACTTTCTGCGAAACAGTCTGTACGTGAGTGTGATGTGCTTGAGGTGGGTTGGTATTTTCGAAATTCCAAAGCCTTTTTGTTATCCCCTTGCCCTTATCCTCCCCTAGAGCCTTTGCCTACATCCAACAGGCCACGGAAATAGCCAGGGATCCGCAAATGGCCTATATACCCCGCGAAAAGTGGCACGACTTCGACCCGCAGCTAATTGCCGAAGGACTCTTTGCGGCCGCCAATGTCTTCTCGGCCCTGAAACTGGTGCACTTGTTCAGCATCAATCCGCACCTGGGTCCGCTGCAGATCTCGTTGGGCCGCATGGTCATCGACATAGTCAAGTTCTTCTTCATCTACACCCTGGTGCTGTTCGCCTTCGCCTGCGGCCTGAACCAGCTGCTCTGGTACTTTGCCGCCCTCGAGAAGAGCAAGTGCTATGTCCTGCCGGGCGGCGAGGCGGATTGGGGCTCGCACGGGGACTCCTGCATGAAATGGCGCCGCTTTGGCAAGTAAGTCCAGTCAGCAGGCCAATTAGCCGCCGGCCAGTTGCTGCCCACTCATTGCGCTAATTCAATGTCCCCGCAGCCTTTTCGAGTCCTCGCAGTCGCTGTTTTGGGCCAGCTTCGGAATGGTCGGGCTGGACGACTTCGAGCTGAGTGGCATCAAGTCGTATACGCGTTTCTGGGGACTGCTCATGTTCGGGTCGTACAGCGTCATCAACGTGATTGTGCTGCTGAATCTACTCATCGCCATGATGTCCAATTCGTATGCCATGATTGATGTAAGTTCGGCTCGCTAAGCAGTTCTTTTCGAGCAACCACCCCTTGTTTTTACAGGAGCACTCGGACACAGAGTGGAAGTTCGCCCGCACCAAGCTGTGGATGAGCTACTTCGAGGACAGCGCCACCCTGCCGCCGCCCTTCAATGTCCTGCCCTCCGTAAAGTGGCTCATCAGGATTTTCCGCAAGTCCAGCAAGGCCATCGATCGACAGCGCTCCAAGGTACGTATTTTTTGGGAAAAAAATCAGCTAATATTTGTCAATATAAAACTATTGCCACCTCCGCCCGAATTCAGGCAGTTCTTCTTAGTCATTTTTTTTTTTAAAAAGTCATTGTCCATTGTAAAAATACTATTTTATTTTATTAAGAGTAAAAAGAGGGACAATCGGGCTTGCCTTTCTAAAGGGAAAATATCATCCTTACGCCTCGTCAGTACAAAATTAATGATTACTTCTTTTTTACAGACATTTGAGAGTGTTTATTAGTACCTATAGAAATGTGGAAAACATTTCCATAATTGGACCATTTATTAAAAATTTATGAGCAAATAATAGAATGCAAGCAGTGGAAGCAGTCGATTTCATAATTTAGTAAATTTACATAACTTAGTCTCCCTCCCACTCCCTTGAGGTTAGTAAAGGGTATCTGATAGTCGAGGTGCTCGACTCTACGTTCTCTCTTGTTGCTTTTTATGGTGACAATTACCTCTGTTTATTTTACTCACCGCATCCATGGAATGTATTCCTCCAATCTAGATGCAAATCTAGTTATTAACTGACCCTTTATTCTTTAACAAGTGTTAAGTACTAGGACTAATTCAAACCGCTCTTGTTTCAACAGAAGCGACAGGAACAAGAGCAATTCAGCAAATATGACAATATAATGCGCTCCCTGGTCTGGCGATATGTGGCCGCTATGCATCGAAAGTTCGAGGATAATCCCGTCTCGGAGGACGACATCAATGAGGTGAAGAGCGAGATCAACACGATGCGCTACGAGATGCTTGAGATATTCGAAAACAGCGGCATGGATGTTTCGTCGGCCAATAAAAAGGAGAGGCGTAAGTAAATTTATTTATCAAGGAGCCTTGGAGATACCTATCGCTAAATCTTTTCAGAGCCACGACCCCGGCGGATAAAAGTCTGGGAACGGCGGCTGATGAAGGGCTTCCAGGTGGCACCGGTGCAAAATAGCTGTGAACCCGATGCCTTCGGGAATGTCAACGGGCAGGGAGACATGCGTGAGATCAAAGGTGGAAGCCATTCCCTCCAAGCCGGCTAAAGAAACCGCCAGGGAGCGGTTCCAGCGTGTGGCTCGCACCGTCCTTTTGCAGTCCACCGCCCACAAGTGGAACGTGGTCCTTCGAGCCGCCCAGGACTCCCAAATAGGCCGCTGCACCAAGAACGAGCGCAAGAATCTCCAGAATTTGGGCAGAGCCATCGAGGAGGCAAAGAGGTGTGGCATATCCCAATGGTTATGGATCCCCATTTAACGTTTCTTCTTTTCCAGGCTCATAATGCTCAATCCGGGGTGTCCTTCCGGTCGGGAGTCACCGATTCGCATCGAGTTCGAGGACGAAAAGACGAGCACTCTGCTGGAGCTGCTCAATCAAATCAGTGCGGAGATAAGTGATAGCGAACGGCCCAAGGTGAAGCCCACCTGGCGGCCACCTCTGAAGTCCGTGCCTGCCCGGGCAATGGCCGCCAATAACACCAGATCCCTAACAGCTCCCGAGCTGAAGATCAACAGGAAATCCTCGCCAGCTCCCACTCCGGGTGCAACTCCTGGACACACTGCAGTCTCGCAGCTGAGGAACCGAGAGCTTCCCTTGTGCCCCAGCAAGCTGATAGCTCCTCCCAAGAAATCAGCACCCCCAGCCCCGGCTGGTCCTCCGCCACCCACCTACACCACCACCCACACACCCTTCTTCGTGGAGGGTCGCATCCGGGGTAATACTCGTAGTTCAGATGGTGTGCCATCCGGCAGTTCGACGTTCGACATCCACGTGGTCGATCTGGACGAGAAGGGCGGTCCCCTGGGCAGGGATAATGTTTCCGACATTAGCTCCATTGCCAGCACGAGTCCCCAGCGGCCAAAGCATCGAAACTAAATGTGATTGTGGCATGGACAAGGGTGATAAATCTCCCTGCCGTCCACTAGGTGCCTTACAAATAGCGATATTCTTGTATATCTATCTATGAACAAGAAATACAATTATTTAGGCAAATTAAACGAGAGGTGGTTGTCAGTTCAACTGGAGGGAATCCCGTTCTTAAATGCTCCCCCTCCAATAAATAGCATTTACATATAGCCACTGAAGCATCCATAGACATGACGGACCCGCCGGGGCTTAATTTTTTTCCGGTGAAAGCGTGCGTGAATTCGCAAGCCAAAGCCATCAAAGGCAATTGAGACACAAAACATAAACAAGTCACCGGATAAACGTGGCTCTCAAGGGCCGAAAAGAGAAAGAATTATAAATTCAATTTGATGTCATATCAATTGATTTTGGGCCACAGCTTTTTGCCGCTTCGCCTGGCGTTCCGTTCCGACATTGTGACTTCCTAAGGGCCTACTATATATATATTTGAGGTCCTTGGCCTCGTTGGAGGGACCGGTGGCTGCGGCTGGCATTTGATTTTGATGACGCGTGGCACTTTGAAATTTATGCGCCACTCTAAGCACACTTTGTATGCGCCCAATGCCTTGGAAAGATGATGAACGTTCGAAGTTTCAGTACGTGTGTGTTTTTTGAGGGACAATGTCTCGGGAGTTTGTGTGTTTTGCATGAAACCTGATGCTTTTTTGCTGACACTCACCGGGGATAAACGCAGGTATTATGGTTATTTCTCCCTGCCCCTCCAGGAGCGGAAGCATTTGGGGTTCGCAGCCAGAATTAAGATAAATATAAATGCCATTTTCCCCTGCTTTTTATGGCAGTGCTGGCAATAATATATGTTAATGTGATTAGGTTACACATAATTCAGCAGATGCATACGGTGACATGACGAACCTGATATTTCTGCTCCAATGGAAAGCGGCTAAACTTCTGGCCAACACGATGTTTGCCAAGTACTTGGCATGCCAGAGGCGTTTGTGGTCTGGATCCGATTACCTGCCGGAATGCCAAAAAGCAGAGAAATTCGAAAATTCCAAAAATTCCGTTTATTTACACAAATTCACTTGAATTCCAGACAACATACGAGTTCTCATTATTTCGCTAGGCAGACAAATGTACACAGAGATGGGCTAGTTTGGGTTAATTACACAATACACCTAGTCTAAGATTCGAGCATTTCGATTGCAGAATGCAGATTGTTGAAGGGGGCCGAGGATAAGAGCATTATTAGCCATCCGTGCGGGCCAGCTTCAGTCGCACGGCAATGCGTTTGCACTTCCACATGAGCTGCGTCTCGAGGATGCTGAAGGACATGGCGACCAGGACGAGTCCGAGGAGCAAGTAGGCGCAGCAGGCGTACAGCTGCAGCTCCGGTCCATTGAAGCTCCGGGCGGGCACGAAGTCCCCGTAGCCGATGGTCGAGAGGGTCACGAAGCAGAAGTAGGCGCCGTCCACCAGCGACCAGTTCTCCCACAGGGCGAAGATCACGGTGCCCACGCAGATGTAGCAGGCCAGGATGAGCAGCACCAGGCTGATGGGCACCTGCCGACCCTCCGCCCCCTCGTCCTCGTCCTCGGAGTCCTCCTCCGCCCCGCGGCAGTCCTCCGAGTCGCAGTGGTAGCGCAGCCTCTTCAGCACAAACTGCTCGCTGCCGTGCTGCATGTACTCCTCGTCGTCGGAGGTCTCCGTGTTGTTGGCGGTGCTGTCGTACAGGGCTCCGGAGGCGTGTCTGTGGCAGCGACGCGTCAGCAGCAGCGTCTTGCGGCTCAGCGGCTGCAACGTGTGGCGGTTGAAGGCGGCGGTGCGGGGGGCATTCTCACCCTGCGACCTGTCCTGCGGCACGCTTAAAGGACTCGCTATCAGCGGCACTCGCGACGGCGTTCCGTGCGGGCAGTTGCTGCGAAATGATAAAAAACACGGATGGACAATAAATATTTATGCCGCAGCTGACCATAAAATAAATCAATTAGGCATAAAAAGCAAACCCCAGAGCTACCTCAGGTCGTAAAACGGAAATAGCTGGCCGACCTCCCGTCCTGTCCAATCAATAAAGCATAAAACTTTCGGTATACGTGTTCTACACTGGTTTGGGTCACCAGGCGTATGCGTTATGTTGGGAGAACTACGTTTGGACTACTAGAAATCACCCCAATCCCTATATCAGATTATTGGTAAACACTCAAGGTTACTTGTAAAATTTGAGTTCAAATTGAGGCATATAATATTTCAAAAACCAGGGACCATAACAATTATAATTATACCCATTACTCGTAATGTTGTTGCTTTTATTATTAGCTATCGAAATGTAGAAAAAAAATTTGCAAATCGGACCATTTATTAAAAACTTATCAGCTTAGTTATTGAATTCAATCATATCTCCATCTTTTTTGCACTTCCTAGTCGAGGTAATAAAAATTTTTTTAAATATTTATTTATAAAAATGAAAAAAAAAGAATTATTTTTAATTTTTGGTTTAAACAAGAAATATTACTAAATTTAAAAATATATAATTTATAGTGGACTATATACCAAATTTAAATACATCGTAGTAAGTAATATTTTTCGGTTTAATGCAGAAAATACGGTCAAAACAACTGTAAAACTGAGTCTCAAAATCTCTCCAATTCAAAACTTCAAGTCCCAAATCGAGACTGATTTGATTGACAATCCAAATACCTCTTGAACGAGGCTCTCGACGACCTGCAACAGTTCCCCGGGGAACGCTCGTTGGCCAGCACTCCGGTTGCCTCGAGTTCACTCTGTCAAACCAATTTGGCGAACATTTATTGAACTTGGCCAACAGCCTCTCGGGACTGGGATTTGGATTGGAAGGGAAAGGGGAAAAGGAAGAGGAAGCTCTCGGCTAGGCAAACACTTGCTTGAGATGCACTTGCAGAGCGATTGGCCGAACAAGTGCCAGAAAACAACTTCCGATTTCGGCATCGATCAATAAGGACAACCTCACGTGTGTACATGTTTACCTAAGACATGCCCAGCCACCCGGGGCGAAGCACTGGGATGCTGCGATTAATTGACCCGATTCATTGCGAGTGAGTGCCCGGCTCGGCTTACAATTAATTACAGACAAGGCTGAAACCGAAACCAAGGGGGGAGGCTTACATATATATACTCGCGTATATATTCACAGGTTCACTGTCAAAATTAATTACCAGAAGCTGCTGCTTCTGCTACTGCTTTTTATTAAATAAAATGCTCAAAATGTGCGCTCAAAAAGGCGAAGGAAACCATCATCAGAAGCGGAGCACTCTTCACTCTGGCAGAAAATGGCAGCCGAAAAGGGGTGACAGCAACCGCAGGGGCAGGGGGAGGGGCGAACGTGAACGCGAATCCGCAAGGCTGTTCAAGGGAAAACAGGGTGGTTGGGCGGTTGGGTGGCTGGCCGGGAAAACGCTGCTGTGTGCATCATGCAGATTCTGAAGTGTTGATTTAAAGTGTTGCTGGCAGGCAGAAAGTTTGTTTTTGCTTTTGAAATTAAATTAACAGTTTTCCCCCAGCGTTTCGCTCTCGATGTTCGCTGGCAACAATCCAGGGCTTTAATCAAATGCAACTTAAATACCTGCTGCACTGCAGAATAAACTGGTAATTAAACAAAGCAAACAACTCATTTAAGAATGGTTCGATCTTCAATAGCCTAACTTGACGTTTACCCTTTCTACACTCAGCCAAAAAGGAGAATTTAGTCTGAAACATATGAAACGAGTATCTAAAATAAAATTAAAAAATACTCTTCCACAGATGATGTAGGGTATTACGAGTTTAAAATTATTATTTAGGGTATATTTAAAAACAAGTGTAAATTAAATGGACAATATCGCAGTATATGGATGACACGATTTCCTCTAAACAATATTCCGAATCGACTGACTTCTGACTGACTTTTAAGTTTATAAGGCGTAAAGATGGATATTTAATTTCTTTGATGAAAATGGAAAGGAACTGGCAAACGTTTTTGGTTGATTAAACATGCTCTGAGGTTGCTGTTAATCCTTCAATACCCCACATTAATAATGTTATAAAAATAATATAAATAAAAAGTAGATTTATTTCAGTGAATCAGTAATTTTAATCACACTGTTTTCTTTGTGTGTGGTACATACCTCAATCGCTCCCGTTCTTGCTCGTCCTCGTCCTCCATGATGTCGACGTTGGCCGTGGAGTTGGCGCTTAGAAGAGCTGACAATGTTGCTGCTGCCGAGGATGCTGCTGTAGTGGATGATGTTGCTGCTGGGGGCGGAGCACCACCACCCATGCCACAAACACCTGCGGCCATAAAACTGTTATCGGGCTGAGTGGCTCCACCTCTGCCTCCTCCGGCAACCATTGTTGCTCCTGCTGTGGGAGCTGCTCCTGCTCCTCCTTTAATTCCAGCCGACAGCTGTGGGCTTGTTGCAGCGGCCGTGTAGGTTAACAAAGGACCTGCTGCGGTGCCTGTTGCTGGTGACCCCGAATGGGCTGGTGGCTGTAAATCATGTCTGCCGGATAAGTCTGGGGATCCTGTTCCGCAGTCCATCAGCGCGTTGATCTCGTGTGGCAACGGTTTCGTCACGAACTTGGCCCGTCGCACAGCTGCAATGGGAGAAGAATTAAACGGCCCTTCGTTAAAAAAATGATTGAAAAACTAAACTATGAAAAGGTTCCACACAAAACGGACCTTGGTTAAAAATGTATTTCAATAACAATATTAACCGAAAAATATACAGCTAAAAAAAGTTTGCGCACAAATTGGCAAAACAACTTCCGGCAACTGCCACACACGGTTAGATTATCCCGTTAGCCCGTTAGTTCCGCCGGAAGTGGCAGTGGCAGCAGCGGGAAAAGCCGGAAAAGTTGTGCATTTAGCCACGACACACGAGGAGTTGAGGGGCAGGGACACACTGTGAAAATTATTTGCATTGCATTTTCAAAGTTCGCCCAACAAGTGCAACAATGTGGCGGAACGTTTCGGATTCGGGTTCGCATTCCCATGCCCATTTTCCCGACTTTAGAACCAAAAGTTTGGCGTTAGCTTTCATTAGCGGCTGCCACTGGCAGAGTCGGGATGTCAGGGGGCATTAAAACATCTGGCGGTACACACAGTGGGCAATTTTCGAGGGCGCAGCACTCCCTGAACTATTCGCTGCTGTGGTAAATTATTCAGCGAAATTCGTTGTACGAATGTGGAAATGCAAAATTACAGACATTAAAGGTTTTAGGCTATTAATTTATCTTTAGGTGTTTGATTTGCAGAAGGTTTTTAGTCATTTTATGGGATCGAAATAAGAAATTATATTTGGAGAACAGAAAAACACGAGAAGCTTCATTTGTTTTATTAACGGACATACACAATAAAAAAACACGGAGGGATCAAATCGATAAATTTCAGCTATTTATACGCATATAGTTTTTACCATGCAATACTGGTAAAATTGATCTTAAAAAATCTTACTCCCTCTCTCGAAGATTCTCTGACTTCGAAAAAGAGAGTAAGAAGCAATATGACGACTTAAATAACGTGAATGGGAGCGAGAAGAATAAATTCTCTTAATTCGGAGTAAAGCGAGATAGTGGGAGTGAGTGGGAGGGAGAAACACACATTAGAAATTCGAACTGGCCTGGTGTTTACAATTCGAGAATATCAAATTGAGATGTCGCATATTTACAAAATATCAAATTGACCATCGTTTCACATTTAGTTATTTTTGGGTGTACTTATAATTATTATATGGATGATACATCGGTTTTTCCAGTTTTAAATCAAACAACTATGAAACCGATTATATATTACCACCTTTTAACTTAGCTTTAAGTGAACGAAAAATACAGTGACTCCTGTTCGCAGCCACTGTACTGAGTTTATAGTTTTGCCCTTATGGCGACCGAAAAAACGGAAGGAAGCGCAAGTCTTTCACTTTAGAGCTGTCAGCAGGACGCCAGAAAATCGCGGTGCGGAGTGCAGTGGAGTGGAGTGGACTGCCCCGGACATGGCCAATTTGAAAATATTTACTTAAACTTGGACACCACACACACACGGGCTCGCAGAGCGCACAAAGACATTCATTAGAGTGCAGGGACGACGGCCCTGCCCCCAAATGTATATTCCTATATGGCACTATATATCCGGACTCGCAGGAAAGTCACTTTGGTCCTGCGGTCGGTGGTGTTGCAGCAACTTTGGCTGTGCTTTAATGGTGCGGTTCGCCGAGGATTCGGACTATGGGAAAGGAAGGGGGAATCCTCTATGTTGGTGCCTTGTCCGGGTGCCAGTTGCAGACAATTAACATGCATAATGGAATCAATGGCGACGTCTCTCGTTCGCTGACAAATGGCCGAGTCTCACGCTAGAATTTGCTGCGAAATTAAGCGGAATCCTTTGACAAAACGAGTCACGTGCCGTCGCCTCGTCGACGACAAAGAGCTGTTAACTTTAATGAGTTTTGCATGCGTTGCACAAGCTGCGAGCTGGCAGCTCAATGGGACCAGGCAGGACTGTCATCTTTATGCCAAGTCATCATTATCGTCAATAAAACTGTCGCACATGTCGAAAGTTGCCTCAAGTGCATGTTGTTCTTATCCCTGTTGTTGTTGCTGCTGATGTCCTGGCATGTCAAGCAGCACAAGTTGAAAACTTTTAATGCCAGCGAAGTGTGTGTGTGCGAGCCTGCTTAACTCTGTCATTTTAACACGCTGCTGCCTTCGCAGCCTGCAAGCTGCTGATGATGATGAAAATTGTTATATAATTGAAAGCGTAAATGAGCTCGGAGGCGGGAGGTGAGGGAGGAGTCTTCCTGCGACAGCAGGGCGTATGATTGATTGATTACTGTTCGTTCGGTTTTGTTTCGGTGCTCAGGTTAAGCCAAAACTGTCAGCAGAACATTTTCGGTTTTGGCCTGCCATCAAGGCTGGCACAAATTGTTCATCCAATTAAATTCCATTTTCCTTTGTTCGGTTTATGCAAATTTCCTGCCTCACTAGCATTAGCACTCATTAACAATTCACGAATATATGGCAATTTACTCCAATTATTTTAGAATACACCTTTTCACATTCGTAGCTATCGAATGACATACCTATTTATAATAATTACTGTGTAAAGTGAATCAAAATGGTTTCACTGCATACCTGATTCAATGATTTTATATTTGTGACGACTTTAAATATTACATTTTCATGTCTAATAATTCTGGAGGGATTTAGGAAAAGGATACCAATAATAAATTAATTCAAATTCCATTAGAGAAATTACATTTTGAATTTTTCAGGATATCGCTCAATATGGTTTGGGCAAAAGTTAAAATTAATATAAAATTAAAATAATAAAATTCTAAAAATTCTATAAAGCAACATAATATTGTGTAAAAATGTTCACTTAAACTTTATTAGATAAGTTAAGTTTCAAATTTCAAATGGGTCGCTTAAGAAAAACATAAATGTAAGATCTTGAAAGCAGTGCTGCCATCACTCAGCTTGAAAAACAGGACAGATAAGCCAAAAAAAACAGGGAAAAAAAGGACAAAAAATTTTAAAAAAGGACAAAAAAGGGACAAAAGTAAATGCGCCTCCATTTTTCTGTTTTACCAATGGGTTATATAATTACTTAATTTAAATGGATTTTATATTAAATTCAATTATGTAATGACCTACTGCGCCCGACTCACATCCTTCTTTGTTTTGTGCGTATACGTAATAATCTAAAATTATTAAAATAATAAAAGCATTTCAAGTAACTATATTGGTAATACAAAAAAATTCAATATCTGCGTCAAACCCGAATAAGAGTCGTTAAAATCTGAAATTTTTTTCTGACAAAAAAGCAGAGAGTAAAAATTGAGAAATTTTTAAAGTGTTTTCCTCTTTTTTTTTTGCTACAGAAAAAATCGTACTATAAAGAAAATCCATCGACTGCTTTACGTCTCTTTGATAATTTGTAAAAATAATTATTCTCCTGAAAATTTTAAATGTTTGTTTCTCCCTTCCACTCAAGTAACTTTAAGATAATCTCTGAGAGAGAGAAATCGGTATTGGATGGTAAAAACGATTTGCGTATAACTAACAGAAATTTACCATGCCCATATCGATTTGATTCTTGCATTTTATGTTTATACAAATATATGTAAGGACATACGCGTTTATGAAACAATTTGAATGAATTTAGACTGAGATGCTGCAATCGTAGTTTACCTTTGCGAGTAAGCCGACTACGTGATTGTTTATTCGCAAACTAATTTTTGACAGTTCGTCGACACATCATTCCTCACTAAAGGGGGCAATAAACAATGCAATTTCATCACTCACCGTGCACATTCGCTGTCTGATAGGCCGGCGGCGGTGGCAATGTGATGGCCTCCAGAGTGGATGCCTCGGATCCTGTGACGAAATTCCCGGCTGCTACGTCCTGAAGCCCAGAAGCCAACACTCGATGCTTCCCGGATGCGGGTTGCAAGTGTATCGTGTGATACTTGACCAGCGGCTGTTGACTCATTGCAGTATTCGCCAACGCATTGGGATTGAGATTGGGATTCGGGCTGGAAGTCGGGTGGGATTGGGTGTGGGCGGGACTGCCGGGGGCGGAGGGGGCGGTGCCGAACGGGAAGTAAATCGTGGCAGTCGCGGGCGCATAACAATTGGGCGGCACTGTCAGCGGCATTCGCAGCATGCTGCTGGGCACAGCCACGAAGTTCTGCTGCAGTTGCTGCTGCTGCAGCTGGTGGTGTTGCTGCTGCAGCTGATGGTGTTGTCGCGGGAGAGTTGCTGTCGATAATTGCTGCTGCAGTTGCTGTTGCTGCGGTGCGTATTTCAGCAATGCGCTGCCCGATGTCGTTGTCATTAGCATGACATCCGGCTGCTGCGGCTGCTGCTGCAACTGCAACTGCGACTGCAACTGCTGCTGTTGCTGATAAAAATTCTGCTGCGGATTCACGTTGCGCAACAATTGACAGGCATCTGCTGACCGCACGGGACAAAAGACAGAAGAGACGTGTTCAAGATGATTAACGACTTGCAATTGTGCTGACATTACAATTAGCATCCGAACAATGGCGACGACACTCACCTCCTTCCGTTTTGTCTGCCGGCAGCTTTCCCTTTTGGCCGTACTCCAAGCAGTCATTTAAGCTCGTCTCACTGTTGGCCGCATCGTACTTGCAGCCCTTGCAATTGGCCTGCAGAGGGAGGAGGAAATATTTACGTGATGTTAATTTGAATGTTCAATTGCTTAACACTGTCTCAATAATAGTATAAGCGACCATCTCTCAGACAGAAAATAAGTAAAAACAGATATTTTTTTGGCATCTAGAGGTTTTAAATCATGTCTTTTAGTATGCTTTTTTTTAGGGCTTTATCAAAATGGGAACAACATCATTGTTTGTATGTATTGTTCTCCTATTTCCATAGATCCCCTTTTAAAAATTCACAAGAAGCTTAAATATTTGGCAAAACCGTTTCGAATGAGAAAACCTAAGATGGTGTATTTATTTAATGGAATTTATAATTATTATTCGACACTAAAATGGATATCACAACTTTTGCGCGCTGAGTGTGAGGTCGCCACGGAATTTTGTCTCGTTAAAGTGCGGTTTTGTTTGATTTAGTGATTATTCCAAGTATTCATCTAAGCGAAATGCCAAGGAAAGGCCAATGCTAATAAAACACATAATTTGCAGGCTCACTATCCGGAATTCTTGAGGCCCAAAACTGATGTCATCATCGCCGTGGCTCGGGGCCCTCAAAAGCTGTTTGCGGCCAAACGCCTGGCATCTCGTGTGTTTTGCGGTTCTGCGGCATCATCATCAAATGCCAGGCAAATCTAATGGACACACACGCAAACAACCGATGGAAATGATGGAATTGTGAAATGTCTCCCTGCCAGTCTTGCGGTTTGGGACCGGAAAACGCAGACCCAGTTCCAGTTCCAGTCCCAGACCCGAAACCCAAAGCCCAAAACCCGTTACGGCATGCGTCATGATAATTGCAAAAGACGAACGCAAAGGCCAGAAGGCCAAATGGCCAAAAAGCCGAAATAGCAGGCAGTCAACACGATGGCGATAATAATTCAACCGATGACTGCACATCCCCAGAGCCAACCGCAATCTGCTGGCAGTCTTATCAATTGCCGGGCGAATCCTTGTGGAGCCACAAAAGCCCAAAAGTCCACTTGGCCGAGCATCGTGTCGTCCTGGAAGATTGGATGGCGCCCTAATGAGTTGTTGAATGCAACATGGGATGGAGAGCAGAAACAAGAGTCCTGGCAAATGCAAAAATCCTGTTCAACAAGTCGCAGGCCTAGGAAGCTGGCAAAGGCTGGATCCTGAAAGGAATGCCATGCTTGAGTGGCTGGGAACACGGCAAATAGATTACCACTCGAGCATGGCGAATGCGGAAAAGTTTTTAGTACAGATGCAGCTTCGATTTCGATGGCATCTGCCACGTAGAGCTGCAGTTCCACCTGCAGTTGGCCAAATCAAATAAATTAGGGCCAAAAGTGCCGGAAATGGTAAGTTATTGCATGCCTATGCCTCCAGTGCAATTGTCGAGCGGCGGGAAAACTTTTTCCACCGTCGCATTAAAGTGGCTCGCACTCATTTCAATTTACCTGGCACGAAACCCCGCCACTTGGCCGGGAAAAATTAAATTTATGCCGCCGCCATTTGACCCGGCTCAAACTGCAAACTAAAGTTTGCTCAACTCTTAAAGTGTCGAAAGGGGGCTAGGCGCCTGTTCCTCGCTTAAAGAATCAACTTTTGCAGCCCGGAATTTCAAGTTTGACGGGCAAAGTTTGGCGAGGAGTTCATTAAAAGTGTCGAGTTGGGTCCGCAAGTAAATGTTAATTTATGAAATGAAAATGGATTTTTTGTTTTGCCCGCCCCACTGCCAGATGACAAACAGGCCACCGCAAAATCACTTATTTATTTATTGAACCCTGCTATTCGCTTTCGTTTTTCCCGCTCAGCCATAAATTGCCAATTAAACAGAAATTTGCGCAAGCAAAACAAACAGGAGGACGCGGACAAATGAGTGGCTACAATTGAAAAAGGCTGCGAGTGCAAACAGAGTGAATCATTTTTTGTGCCTTAAAGCTTTAAAGGCGAGCATTTTTCCCCGAATGCGGCAGCGAGTGCTCCGTACATGGAAAGTCCGGAACGCCACGTTCCGAAAGCAGAAATGTCATTACGGGAGGCCAGCAAATCACTTACAAAACTTATGCACGAATGCACAAAACACGCAAACAAACAAATACAGTCGGCCCAAACAGAAAAAAAGGGCTTTGGCAACCTAGTCTGAGTTTTGATATCCTAAAAAATTATTTATAATGTATACAGCGCCGGCTCCGTTGGCAGAGCAAATAAAAACGCAATAGAGCAGGAAAAACGTGAAACCGAACCCAAAAACAGTCTGCAGCGGGAAGACCTAAAAAGTATAACGAAAAACAAATGGGCAAAAAGAAAAGTTCTTTGTTGTTTTGCCCAAATCAATTACAAACTTTCAGTTTGCGTTAATAGAAATCCGGACCCGAGCGGAGATCCACTTAAAAGGCTTCTGCTGTCGTAATTAAAGTCCGTAATTCGAGACCCCGATGCAGTTTGATGTCCGAGAAATCCCTCGAATCCCATTGGGCAGTAGGCAAAATTCTGGACAATCGAAGATTCCCATCACATCCTGGCTTAGGAGCTCTCCATGCTCATGCATCATCAAGGCAGCGATCCAGGTTCTCCCGCTGGCCAAAATGAAACTGTCGTAGCTGCCGGAAAAGTTGGAAAAACTACAAGCGAAACACTTAGTGAGTAGTGGGAAAAGTTCATGCGTAAAACAGCGGAGTAGCCAGCGAAAGTTTTCCCCGAGAACTTTGGACACGCGGAACAATGTCGAAAGTTTCCTTTAAACCGGAATGCACAGCAAAACACTCTGGTCTCGCCTCGCTTCTTTTTGGGTTACTCAGCAGCAACAGTTGCTGCTGGAAGCAGAAAGTAAATAAGTTGTCCCTTCAACTATCGAATTAGGATCCATAAAAATGTTCTCGAGTTGCAGTCAGTCGATGGAGTGACTGCAGCTGCTGTTCCCGGGTAAACAATATCAATCATAAGGGTCTGAGCAGTGTGGAAATTCCTTTGGGAAATCAATCTGCAGTGGAAGCAGTACATCTACTCCTAAAGGTTTTCGTTGAAAGAAATTCGAATTAAATGAGATACGTATCTTGAAAGAGGTTAGTGAAACTCAAATTAAAGTTAGATCTTCTGGGTTTAACTACCAAAGGGAGATACATAAGATAAACTGCAGCTGCTGCCCTCGCTTAAAGAGTATCAATCATACGCCATGGTCGCCTTACCGTTCGTCGCCTGGAGCCCTTTTCCTTGTCCTTTTCCCTCGGCCTGGCTGGCATTGTTGTCATCGCAGTGCTGGCAGTGGGCGTCGAGGCCCCGGGAGTGGACTTCCTCCTGTGCTCCTGGTGCCGCTGCAGCTGGCAGCAGAGTCGCACGTAGGTGCACTGCAGGGCGTCGGCGAGCAGGGCTCCCAGGCTGGACAGGCACATCAGCATGAGGGGCACGCCCACCAGGGCGTAGAAGATGGTCGCCAGCTTCCCGGCGGCGGTGCGCGGCGTCAGGCTGCCGTGACCTGCAAGGATCGGGTAATATATATAATACATCTGGTTTAGAGCATGAGAATGGCAAGCACGAACGGGCTAATATAAATGCATGTCCTTTTAATCGGATGGCTGGGGGACAAGCTAAGGAATGGAGAGAGGCCCTTGGGAACTTAATCTGTTATTTGATAGTGCAGCATATGGAATTTCTTTTCAAAAGAAGAAACTTTGCATTTAAAGTGTGACTACTTAAAGATAATATAACAAACCCCTTTTGATTGCATCTTCCAATAAAGAGTAATTTTCAAGTTTAATTTCTGTCAGGAAAACAAACAAAGACTGAGTAGCTACTCCACTTCATAAACACTCATTAGAAAGCTAATATCTAGCACCATAGCCTAGTTATTGTTTGACCTCTATAATGCAGACCATAAATCCGATTAGGAACATACTTCATAGCCTATATACATCCCGTCCGATGGACTTTCTCCCAAGATAGCTGGCATGCTGTTAAAGCTAAAGACCATGAGATACAGTTAATTTGTAGCAACAAGGATGGCCCATCGTTTAGCATATGCAAATATTTAGACCCGGCCTACGGGTCGTATACACAATGTCTGATGTCCTGGTGCTTCAACGGCTGCTGCTCCTGTGGCTTAGTTTGCACTCGAAGGCGTTGGGATGTCGAGGTCTATTTGCCTCCCCGCAAAGTAAATATTTGTTGGCCACAGCACGAGTTGTGGCCTGGTCGAGAATCATAATAAGCAGCTCTGCCCGCCAATTCCCAAGATAAACACTGGGCATAAATCCAAACGGCTTAGGTATTTCGGGCAGTGGGAGTGAATGTGAAAGTGAAAGTGCGGAGGCGGAAACGGAAACGAAAGCGGAAACAGGAGCGGAACTCACCAATTGTCGTTATCACAGTGACCGAGTAGAGCAGCGCCTCGCTGAACGTCCAGCTCTGGGAGTCGCCCACATCGTAGCCAAAGTGGCCCAGGGCGCTGGCACTGCCCTCGTGGAAGAGGCCGGCTCCTCCTCCGCCGGACGGGCCACCAGATCCTTGGCGCGTGGCCGCCACAATGGAGCCCTCGAAGCGACGCAGCTGCTCGTGGACCAACATCGTCCAGTTGCGTTCGTACAGAACGTTCAGTTTCTCTGCAAAAAAAGTGTGGGGAAGGGGAAAAAGGTTAAGTCGGCTCTCCTCCAGAATGCGTTCAAGTGTCCTTTCCGTAATTATGCAATTTCATGCCAAGTGCAGCAACAGCCTTCGACCTCCCATCGACACGGTCGACAAGTGCCGACAAATCGGACCATCCCTCGTTCACCTTGCCCCACCTCCTTCTGCTTCTCCACCTCCAACCTCCCAATCCTCCCCTTCGATTTCGTTTGCCTGTCTTGAGGAATCTGCTCCCATTCGATGTCGTGTGTTCGCCACTTGCAAATTGCAGAGGTCGCTTGTTAACAGCAGTTTGAGACTAGTTTGCTGTCTTACTTGTCGCACACGCCCTTTTCACGCCCTCTGGCCTTGGGGAGGGGTAGGGGGAGGGAATCTGGGTGGAATCTTGAAGCCTCGAGGGTGCACTTCCCCAGACATCATCCACCTAAAGGCCACCCGACGTAATCGACTGGAGCAGTGTTGTTTCCAAGAACAAAAACGAAATCAAACGCTTTTCTGTGCCAATCTTTTCAACTTAATCGACTGATTCTCGAAATTTCTCTTCGGTTCAGGACTCTAGAGTTTTCAAGAAACTAATTGGCAATGAATAACAGTTCAAAGACCATTTCAAACTTTGGTTTAAGGTAATATATCTTCTCGCTCCGACCTTAGTTTACATTTAACATTTTTAAAATCATTTTTGTTTGTCTCCCACAATTTAATATTCATGGTAAAAGAGATTGGTTTTTAATGGTTTTCCTAACATACGCTTTTGTTGATTTTGCTTTTGCATTAGACAATACTAACGCTATTAAATAACTAATAATGAATATTAAACACAATTAACTAAGGTATGTGATACTTGTTGAATTAATTTAGTTAATTAATGCAACGAATATTTTTCTAAAATTTCTTATAAAGCAAAGGCTAGCAGAAGTTTTGAGTGAAAGCAATGTGAGGATAACTTGGTAAGAATATTTCTTGCCTAGTCAACGTTAACCCTAAAAAATCTCAGCTCACGCCAAGGAAAATAATAAATAACCCATGCAGCACATCATTAAGCACTCGTTGGGGGGCTCATCGAATTAATCATAAGCCAGGTGGGACGCCTCTGCAGCGGATGAGCTCAAGTTAATTGGATTATTTATTATGTGAAATTTTAATTAAATAAACATCATCTCTAATACACACGCACGTGCCGCCGCGTCGGCGGAATCTTTTCTCCAGCCTCGAATCGAGTGCCACTGGCAGGTGCGACAAAGTAATTAATTTCACATAAATCAGGCCAACAAATAGAGCTCAAAATAGTTGCGATAAACGCAACCCAATCGAATCGATGAAATATCGCACATTTTGCGGAAACGAATTTAATGTCCCCTCCTGACCAAATATTTGGCCATGCAAATATTTAGCTATTATTCAATTCGGTAGCCGCCAAAATTAAATTTAGCCGTCCTTTTGTTTCGAGAGGATTGTGGGTAGGATGGGTCGTTTTCAGGCAGCCTTGTATGCCGGTACTTATAATTAAAATATTTGTGCTGGCTCTGCGCCGGCCACCGCTACTATTTACTTAGTATTAATGGGCGATAACAAAACATTGTCGCTTTAATGTTCGAGTTACTTTGGCAATTTGCAGACAAATCAAGCGTGCAAAACACGCCGAAAATTTACGGGCAATGCGGCAAAAATGTGGTGGCCATCATAATTTATGCGAATTTTTGTGCGTCGCCAGCGAAGCGTTAAAATATTTGCTGCATGCTCACGCAGAAAGAAAAAAATCAAAATAGCACATCAAAGTATCTATGTTTTAATCTAATTTCATCGGAATATAATTGTATCTCAATTGAGTTAAAAATATATATATAAATTAGGAATCCTTTTATGTGTTAGTTTTGTATCAAACCGGCCTAAAATAATATCTAAATTTCTAACTTAAGACTTTTGCCTAAAATATATATCTGCAGTTTACTGAAATATTTATTTTATTATTGAAGTTTCAGACTCACCTGTAATGATCCAGAGTTCACGCAAACAATCCTCGCGGCTCTTGGCAATGGCAGCTGACTTGCTGATGTCCTGCGGCGCCTCCAGCAGCGGGAAAATGAGGCCGCCCAGCACGGAGTAGCCGATGACCAGGAGCACCAGTCCGGGCGTGGAGAGCAGCAGCTTGAGGAAGTGGCCCCAGCAGCGCCGGAAACTGCCTCCGGGCTTGGCGGTCAGCGAGGCGGTGGTCCTGGCACCCACTTCAGATCCGCATCCTGGTCGTCCATTTGCAAATTCGGCGGGATCCGTCTCATCGTCGATGGAACCATCCAGCTGAGACGGCTGCTGCTTGGCCTTAATCGCCTGCTCAACGTCGGACATGATCGCTCAGTGTTCAATGGCATTTAGTGGCCACCTGCTCCTCCTCGTCTTTCGTTTTTGTTTCCGTTGGCAGCAAGCATTTCCGTTTCCGCTGGCAGCAGAGCCCGTGATTCATGGCTCGTCCAACCCTTTGGCTTACTAATTGCAACAGCGATTCCTCATCATTCGCAATGTCGCTTTGTTCTACCCTATATCGCCCCTATATCTTTGTTCCCTGGCTGTCTGTCGACTGTCTTCCTATCCGCTTGTTGCCTTCAGCTAGCGTATTATGTTTTAAGCTGTCGTTGACTTGTTTTTGCTGCTCTGGCTGATGATGTTGCTGCTGTTGCTGTTGTAGCTGCTGCTGCTGATGTTGCTGACGTGGCATTTACCATTGTTCCCGGTCTATGCACTCCATGGACTCTTCCTCCTCTCGGCCGTTTGTACTTTTAAAGTTGTTGTGCCAGTTTATTCCCCTCCGTTTCGCAGTGCTGCCTGCCTGTAATTGAAAACATTTGTATGCTGTACTTGGTATTCATATTGTTGCAGTTGTTGCTGCTGCCTGGCTGCTTCCGTTGAAGTGCACTTGGCAGTAGGTTAAGCGCACACAAAGTGAAAACGTACTAAATTTGACACTTCACTTAATCTAATTAGCAACTCTTTAAATCCCAGCCCATTCTATGCTGCCAAGCGGTCAGCCAAGTGAGCAAACTCAAACACAAATTAAATGTTTATATTTACTCAATTTGTGATCGAGTTAAAACAACAGTTGGCGCTGCTACAGATGCTTTTGTGACAACAAAAGAGTGGTAATTAAATTAATTTTTTTTCTGTCACTGAAATTAAATACGTGATTGCGTATACTTAATAACTTAATTATTTTGTGGCTATTTATATTTTATTTAATAAAGCTGTCATATTAATCTGTGCTAGGAGCATAAATCGGTTATTAAAGAAATATTTACAAATCCTCCTCATAGAGTTCTACTCCATTTGAGTATATCGATTTTCACTTCGCCGTTGAAGTTTTGCCCCACATCGTTTAAGCTCATTATTGTATCCAATCGATTAAGCCCATAAAAATGATAACAAAGCCAAAGTCCATATAGGCAGCGCGTAATACAAATTGAACGTCTGGCATTAGAGACTGGCAAATTGAAATCTGTCTGCTGGCATCTGAATACATATATGTATCTCGTATGATACTCCCATTTCTGAGCAACCTTCACACATCAAAGTCTATAATCGTAATGAAGCTGTCTTCGTGGGCGGCTGGATAATGCGCTTAGGATATTTAGACATTGAACCAATTAAAGCCGAGAGGGAAACTCGGCGATTAGTTATTGAAGCTCCCGGGGAAAATCGGGGCCAGCACGCAACATTCATTGATGTGGGCGGCTACCAAGTGGGGAAACCCAAGAGGAAAACATTTATTCTTTTGTAGCCGCCCCTTTGTGAAGAAGAATAAGCGTCTTCGTCTGGCACACGCAATTTACTTAATTGGAAAATAAAATAAGCCAAAGCCAGGGACTGGGATTGGGATTGGGTTTTCGGTTTTCGGTTTAGGGTTTCTGTGTTTTCAGCACTGGAGCTGGAACCGGGTCAAACCGGAAACTGCTTGGCTCCCAAAACAATGGCCACTTGGGCTGCTTTTTTATGGCTAGCGCGCATAATTTAATTCGGCCAACAACGGGGCGTATGAGCAACAAAGGACCAAGGCGCTGGCTAATGCAAAATTAATGTCAATCGCTGGTGAAAGGGGGGAAATGCCAATGCCCTCTTGATTGTGACCTAACGTTTGAACTGCGATGGGGACACGCACACATCTAAGCGAACGAAGGACATTGAGGAAAAGCCAGTTGGAAAAGCGAGCCAGCGAAAAAGGGCAAAAGGCAAGGGGCAAAATGTCTGCCGGAAGTTATCCCTTTTAGCCAGATTGAAATCAGCTTACAGTCGCTCCTTAATTGAAATGTTTGCGTTTCACTTTAATTAAAGCGTTTTCAGCCGCCCGGCCGACAAAACCCTTTTCATCCAAAGGATATTCCGTCATATTTTCTGTATTTCATCCGATCTCATTCATTTCATCGCTCTTCACCGTTCTTTTTCGCACGTCATTTCATGAAGTTGCTGCCAAAGTTTTAATAGTTAAGTACGGCTGCAGCCGAGGATAACGTGGCCCAAGCCTCCCTTGCCTCGCCTTCATTTCCATTCACTTCCTTCGCTGCAGACTTGGCTTTTGTCCCACTCCGCCCCATTATGCATTATTTATTATTATTATTTTTAAATGCAATGACAACAAACGCAGTTTAATTACAATTTTCAACTCATCAAATGCAGCAGCCGCAGTGGAGAAAGGAAAGCTGAAAGGCGGAGCGGAAGCGAAGGACATCGGGGAACATCCAAGGAAAATGGCGCTAATGGCACCAGCATCTCTCATTCTCATCCATCCTCTTGGCCAGCTTTTCCCACTTTAGAGACCAGGACAGCTTGGCTGTTTTTAAATCCAATTTCGCTTCATAATTTTATAACGCGCCCGGCAAACTCCTCGCTTCCCCGCCCCCAGGGAAATCCCCTCTTATCCCTTTTCCTCACTGGCCATTGCCGATTTAATTGCATTGCTGACATTTAGCACCCAGCAGCCAGGGAAAACCCACAAAAAAGAAGTCGTAGTGAAAAAGCACATCGCAGTAAATGAGTAAATTGGAGATAGGGTGAATGCAAAGTGGATTTTTTGATTCGCGATTCGAACCATATTTGCATGTTGTTTGTTAATTGAAGTCGAGCAGAACCATCCACTCCTTTTGGTCGATTGCGATTTCGAATAGTGTTTCCGTCGAACTCTTGTACGTTTTGAGAAATGTAACAAATGAACTTTCAACAAATAAATATTGGTACAATCGTAAAACTCAAACAAGGATGAAAAATTAATGAATGTGAGGTTATAATTAAACTCCGGATCCTCCACTGCGTTTTATTCAAATGTAGAACAAATGGTATAACAAAATGATATTATCACAAGTTCATACATTTTAAGAATCCACTACAACCACTTTTTAACATAATGTTATATCATAACATATATGGCGATATTAATAATTGACTATTGAAAATTACAGTTTAATGTCTGTTTAAATATCTTGGCAATTTTACGAAATTGTCAAACAATTCAAAAAGCTTTAAACTTTAATAAAAGACATTTCTACATGATTTAGAAACGATATAAGTTTCTAATTAGTTTGATCCTCAGCATAACTAAGAAATCTAAGTGAAGTTAGATACATTTTTATGACAAATTAAACTGAATAAAAAAAATATTAACAATAACTGAGTAAAATCAAAACTATTGGACAACAATTAAAAAAAATCCCATTAAAATATTCCGTTAGAATTCGTCGAAATCGAAGGTTGAGTGTCCAATCGTCCCGAGCGAAAATAAGGAATTGCTCATATGTCATTCTAAATGCTTAATGCAGGATTTTCACTAGACCGTTGCACTTTCAAATCCTTTTAAATGATGCATATAAAACACTTCATAAATTAAAATCAAATTAAAATAACACAGGAACAACAGTTGCCGACAAGGAGAGCTTTATTTACAAGAAGAACAATAAAATTGTTCAGTCAAGTGCCTATAATGAAAACTAAATGCCGCAAGATTAGTGGTCTGCCGGAGGAGTGGGACTCCGATAAGGGGATTTTCCGGCGTGTTTTCCACGAGCCATAAAGGCACTGAAGCGTGCGCTGAACTTTTAGCACATTAGCCAAGAGAGTGCGAATAATAGTGGGTTTAATGGCCAGAGGTGCGAAACAAAAACCGAGTAGTAGATAAGCAGACACAGATGGGGATATCCTCAGGAAGATACTCGTACTCCCTAAAACACACAGGAAATTCATATGACTATGATTATGCAATTGGGAGCGGGAAACGCTTGAGCGGCGCTAATAATTCATACTAGGGCCAGAACAAAGGAGCCAAAAAATGGAGAAGCCCCTGAAGAAAGTGGCTGGCAAGTGCAGGCGAACGGACATTATGTGCAGCAGGATCCAGGATATAATGACCATGTTAATGCCCAACACAAAAGTGCACTGAAAGGAAATGAGCAAGATAAGTAACGAGCCCGAAAATGTTCCTTAGTCCCCGGTTGCAAACTTTTGCGCAAAGCAAGGAAAACTCCGGAAAAGCCAGTGGCTGGGCCGGCTGCTCCTTGCTCGATTTCTTGGCCGTTCCTCATTAAACGCACTCAAGTCGCTCGCAACAATCTTAATTATGTTGTAAAGTCTTTGGCCAGGAGGGCCAGAAAAAACATACCCGGGCCAGGGGGATAGCAAAGCTTTTCAGCTGGCCAGGAAAAACTTTGGCCGCGCTGATTAGTTTTTCGAGTGCCTGCAGTGCTGCAAGTCGGCCAGTCAAGCGTTTCCACTCAGTCTGTCATCTAGTCAGTCGGGCATCAGTGGCAGTGCTCCGTGCAAACTTTTCCGGGCGGCGTGGCGAAACAACAAAAACTCATTAAAAACTGCACAAATGCAACGTTTGGCCCATAAATACACGGCAGCACCCCTTGGAAAGCAAGGGTGCAGGGCCAAGTCAAGCGGGAAAATGCAAAACTGCCCAACAAATGCACAATAATTAGAAGCAAATTTAAAAGTCGTTTGGCTGCTAATGAAGGCTTCCTTTGTGCCCGGAAACCCGAATGGTTAGGGCCAAACGCAGCAGCGCAGAAACCAAAATTGCGGAACTCGGGGCTGCAAAGATGCTGCCGGCTAATGGCCAAAATTAGTTCAATCAATGCCCTTAAAAATCATAATTGCAATTTCAAGTAAATAGGGCTGAGAGAGGTAATTAAAGTTTGCTCCAATATAAAGGAAAACTTGGAGAAAACAAAATTAGGTAAAAGTGTGAAGATTGGTTTAAAAAAATAAGAGAGAAAATATATGAAGTAGCAGGAAATTAATTTAAGCAAAATAAGACGAATTTTAAAAGTCAGGAGTCCAATAAATATGTGTATCATATGTCCATGCATTTTGCGAATGCTTGTAAATATTTATTTAGTTATTTCCAAGAGAAAAAATCAAACGAAAATAGTACCTATCCCAAATTATATTTAAGACGAACAACAATCATTTTCACAAAGTTCTACTATTATTGTGTTGACAAGAGGGAAGCTTAATTGTCCAAAGGGCAGCTTCTGATGCCAGTCCCAGGTTTTTTAATCAGATTTTGGTGCAAAGTTGGTCCCCACGGCTGCTGGCTGTAGTTCAACGTAAACTCGTTTACTTTCATAATTAAATTGTTAAACATCAGTTGGGCTTTAATTGACAGTCGTCGAGGGGGCGAAAGAAGGACATCATCCTTTGGCCAGCTCAGCGAAATTCCTTAAGTGCCAATTTAGTGGCAATTTGCTTTTGTCTTAACACTTTTCGGGGCGGAGGATAAAGCTCGGTGAGGTCGGGGCGCTTGTAGTACAACACAATTTAATGTTAATTAAGCAAAACGTTGCC